GGAAAGAGAGGGTCAATAGAGTGGTGATATATTCACTTTTACTGATGGAATCACCGATAAACTACTTTCGTTGGTGATTTCGTCGATAATTCTGACAGTGAATTGATTACGTCACTGTACGGAGATCCTAGTTTGAATCCCTCGGTAATTTTATTGGTAAAATCACCTGCAAAAGCTTCCATATCAGCGAATAACCTTTTTTATATATATATAATAAATAGTCCATTTGTAATTCGATCAGTATTTACTAATCAAATAATTATGTTAATATATACCTATTAAATTTAAGATGAAATATTATCCGTCGGTAACTTCATTCGGGATAGGCGAATGTCTAGTAGTGTACCTTTTTAAAATTAGAACTCAAATAATCAGGTTAAAGTGCACATGATCATTTGTGAATTAACAAATAATTCCTTACGTGGAGGATTCCAATTGCATCTTTAAAGGTAACAATGATATCGAAAGGTATATGAAGTAATATTCTACAAAGTATAGGAAAAATATTGTTCCCCGCACCAATATTATTCATCAAGAAAAAAACAATGACGAATTATAGCACAATTATTAAAGAACGCAAGATTCAAAATAGGTAACTAAAATGAAAAACACAAAAAAAAGAGATATTTTTGCTAAAATTGAGGCTAAACATATACTTTAGTTTCCTAACTTTTAAAATTATAAGTTTTTAGTCCTTAATAATTGATGAAATTTAATTTTAATCCTAAACTTTATTTTTTTATTTCTTGGTCCTGATTTGAGAGAATGGTTGGATTCTGATGATAAAGAAAAAAAATCTTGAATGAAACTGGTACAAGATGGACATAAAATATGTCTCTTCTATCCCGATCAACCCAACCATGTTTATCTTTTTATATCTTGAAATGGTATCAATCACTATCTTAGCAGTGTATTTATAAATTAAATTTCATTTCATTTCATTTTTCTTTTTCTTTTTTAATTTCAGAACTAAAAAAGTACTAAACTAGAGAGAACAAATTAAACAATACATAGGCTATGCTTTAGTTGCTTAATTTTACATAAAACACGCAAATTCAAAATTTATTAGTCTTTAATTTTAAGTCATCATTATCAATTTGTCAAGAATATCTTTAATTGGATTTCCATTAGTTTAGCAAAATAAAAGTTTAAAGAAATTGTTTAATTTTTAAATCTTTTTGTATCATCGTTAAGAATTGGTCAACAGTTGATTCGGTACTATAAAGCTGCTTTCCTCAAACATCAAAATTAAATAATTTGTTCCCAAGTCAAAAATAGATTAATTTATTGATACAGTTAATTGCAGGAGAATATTTAAAGATTTTTCCCAAGTCAAAAATAGATTAATTTATTGATGGAATGATGAGACTGAATAATTATTAACTAATAAGGTTATCACATAGTCAAACTGGATATCTGTGTCTTCAGTGACAAATTCAGCGCAAAAGTTATCAATGCCAGAAGCTGCTTGGAAAGTTATTTATTTATTATAATTCGATTGCTTTCTTTCTTAGCTAATCTAATAATTTCTAATGGACAAATTTGTTTTTGAAATGGTTAATATCAAATTAAAAATGGAATTCACTCACATTTTGAACTAATATTATGTTTGATAATGTTCTCTATTTTAACATGAAGTATTTATATAACTAAAATCAATTCTAAATATATAGAAGATTAATTCTAAAAAATCTTTGGTTGATAAAAATTTTAAATCCATAAAGTTTTTATTTTACATTGAAAGATTACAAGTATATATCGTGGTGTTTTAGAAAAATAAGATTATAACCTCTATAACAAATGTAACATTTTAAAATCTTCCTTACTACTGAAGGAATATATTTTTTTAAATTATTAAATGTATCTTGGATACAGATATTTCTTAATATTGTTTTTTAAAATATAAGTGTTTGTCAAGTTTTTCAAACAGTTGAATATTTGTGTAATCTTAAAATATTTGAGGAGTTTGGATATAATTTATTATTAATCTTCTTACTCGAGGGTGGTTTAGTGTCGAATCTTAAGATAACAGTCAAATTGTCTATAGTTATTAAAGATTACATAGTTGAATAATTAGGAGCTTGGTCTATGTTATTAGACATTTTTAATTCTTTTTCGAGGTGATCCTCGGCCGGATTGAGTATTTGAAGTTTACTTGTGCTTCAGAGAAACTTCTCTAATGTTTCTTCTTGTTTTTTATGATGAACTCCCCTCGTTCGACTACTCCCAGATCACAAGAGATAATATTTCCTGTCTGATCCTTTTTTCTCTCTTAAATATTCAATTAATTTGTTGTGTATTAATTATTCAACTAATGAGGGAAAATGGTTAAACAATCAGTTATATCTAAAAATTTAAATTATTAGATGAAATTTCAAGATATAATTTATATTATTATCTAATATACTCCCTTAAGTGAAAACATTTTAAACTTAAAATTTGCATAAATCTATACTATCTTATACTTCATTTTTTGTATCAAATAGATGAGGATTGTGAGGTTTGAATTTGTGACCACTCCATCATCAAGGCTCTGATATTATATAAAAAAATCAATTCAATTCAAAAATTTAAGTTGTTAGATAAAGTTTTAATATATAATTTATGTAATTCTCTAACAAAAATATCCTCTTTTCATATTAAATGAACAATTCTAATTTATTTATTTTTTAACATCTAGCTCAATGTTAAATATTCCCATTCCATTATTAGCTCTTATATTATTTATTGTGCAAATTCATCACAAATAATTAAAGTCCCCCTGAGAAATTAATATAATCTCCAAATCTTCTATAAAAAATTCAAAGAATAAATCTAGTAAATCCCCACAACAAATTATTTTTGAAAAATACTCAAATATATAGGAAACTTTATTAACCATGATCTTATGTCGATTTTTCTCGCCTTCAACTCTCCACCAATCCATGACCAAATTGTTAATTTTAATCTTTCTACTCTCTCACAAACACACAGTACTTTGAGGAAGTCCTGCTTGCTGGGCACATTGTTTCCAATTTATATGTGCTAGATTAAACTAGTACCCATGTAAATTTTCTGAGGAAGTCCTGCTTGCTGGGCACATTGTTATCAATTAATATGTGCTAGATTAAACTAGTACCCATGTAAATTTTCTAATCCAAACAAGGCCCCCCTGCTAGATTAAACTAGCAAGCCTAGAACATGCCTATAAAGTCTTGAACAAACTCACTATGTTGAACTCCGAAACAATACGAGAAGATGAAAATGGCCTACAAATATTTCTTGTCTCTAATCATTCTCCTACTGTTGCCCACCTTATTTCAATTAGCAAGAGCAGTTGCACCTATAGCAAAGCCTGGTTGTCAAGATCACTGTGGAAACATCAGCATTCCATACCCTTTTGGAACGACAAAAGATTGCTACATGGAAGAATCGTTTGAGGTTGTTTGTGACGAAGCAGCCAGCCCTCCTAGGATTTTCATAAGAAAAACCAATATGGAGGTTCTGAATATTAAAGATGGTGCTGCCGTCGTCAAAGGTCCAATTATGTACTCCAATTGTTCCGGTAGGCAATCCGGTCCACCTGTGAACTTGGAGGGAAGTCCTTTCTTTTTCTCCTTCGGTAATCTGTTCATTGCAGTCGGCTGCAACATCCGTGCTCTCTTGACAGAGATTGGGCCCCAAGTCAGTGGATGTGACTCAACATGCGTTCCCTACTATAATCAAACAAACATTATTTATGGGCAAGAAATTAATAGTCTCTGTTCTGGGAAGCACTGCTGCGTAGCCAGAGCTCCTTATAGGATGCAGGTTTTTTATCCAAGTCTAGAAACTAAAAATGAGAGTCAAGACTGCAGTGGATGCAAGCTTACTTTCCTAGCAGACCAAGAGTGGGTTGCGTTCTCCTATATAAACAATCGGCAAGTGTTTCATGATCGGGAATATGTTCCGGTGGTGCTGGCTTGGGTGATGGATTACAAGCTTTGGAAATATGACCCCAAGACCATGAGTTGCAAATATTTCCTTCTCGAGAACTCTTTGACTTTAGCATACGAATGTTCTTGCCGGAAAGGTTATGAGGGCAACCCTTACCTTGGGTGCGTAGGTAAAATTAATGTTTAATTAAGAAAATACTTGATGTTGCTGTTTGGCTGTACACCAGCTTCGCTTTTAGCTCTTGAAATAAACCATTTGTTTATGCGGCATTTGCCCAGCTGACAAACGGGTTCTTCCTCTTCTGAATAATAATATTAATAACAATAATTTCTGCAAAGATTGTTCTGGTTTATCAGGAAACAAAGTACCTGAGCATCTCTTTTCTATTTATCGATCGTCTTCCTGAGTTATAATTTCCTTACTGTATGTTAAGACTGTTGAGATTCGTTGCGCCTGCTTATTTGGTCAATTTCATATCACCTATGCTGCTGGTGATAATCAATGCAGTATGAATATCTACGTTGCAACAATTAATTATATATTTTTCTGCGTGTAGGTATATCTAAGCCAAGTTATTGTAGCTTAAGTCCCTAGCTAGTTGCTAGAACTATTGCTGTTATAGGCTTTCTCGTTGCTCTTTCTGACAAATCAATGCGAGATCTGGTTTTAAGGCAAACTTAAAAATTAATGCAAAACAAATCAGAAAATATAGCTAATCGAGGAGGTAAATATAACCATAAAATCAAGGAACTTGGATTACAAAGTTTAAGCGAAAAAAAAAAAGAGATGACACTGAAAATATTTCATAGACCTGAGAGTACAACTCCATTGATATTCCTTCAAACTAGAGTACTGCCCATGAATGTATCAGGTGCGTAAGTGAACCCTAACCAGCCTTCACACAGTCCAAACATCATTCCCTCATAGCCATTCAATTTCTCGAGATCAATTTTAGCACACGACTCCTTAAATCTCACGAATGTTTGAAGAGTTAACAAGCTATCAGATCCTGCCTGGTGCCTTCTTCCCGTTATTCGTTCAACACCGAGTAACATAGCCACCCTCTCCAATCCACCGTGCAAGCCACTAATGCATCCCATCATGAATTTTGTATCATAAACTTGAACCCCAAAGAAAAACATTATCATCCCCAAAAAAGACCGCATATCACTGGGCAACTCTCGTTTAGTTAAAATCTTGATCAAGAATCCAAAATCATAAGCACCATGAAAAGTAATCCAAGTTATTGAAGAATTATTGGAAATAAGTCCAGAACTCAAAAACAGCCTTCCAAAATCTGAGGAATCAATACCCTTCTCTCTGTTCTTCTTCAAATCAATACCTTGTCGTTCAAGCAACCCAATAGACTCTTCATTGTGATGATCGTGCTTGATATTGAAATCCCGGAAATTAAACTACAACACATAGTGGAATTCTGTTCCGAAACTTGGAAGATTTCCATGTGAATCAGAAAGAGTAATCCCAAATTGAATTATTTTCAAGAGATCAACATTCCACTTCATGAGACAGTAGTTTTCATAGGGAGTGGCATGAGACAGCGAACTCTTGTCACGATTTAATTGAAAGATAGTACCAGGGAATTCTGTGTCCAAAGCAACCAAGGGGAAGCGAAAGATCTCTTCCTTGATTAGAAAAAACTCATATACGAGGTTGTCTGCCCAGACTTCGCGCAGATGTACTGGTTTGCTGCTCTTCATCGTTGACGCTGTTGTGATTTAAAGATCTAATGCAAGTTGAGCTATTTCAATGGCTTAGGCTGTCAATCTATAGCCAAGATCAGAAGGGGTGGTCCGAAGTTGAGGAGGAGTGTATGGAATCCTTGTTTCTTCTGGTTTCCCATCTCAAAATTAAAAAAAAAAAAAAAGAGATCATTAATTCCTAGGTTTCCTGCCGTGAGAAGGAATATTGTCCTAATGGAATGCTACTTTCAGTGTCTTAAATTAATTCGGTTTATAATTACAACCTCTTTATATAATCAAGGAGTCCTTAACGAATAAGACACTTAATTGCCTACCTAATATCCAGTCATGGAGGGATTAAAAAAACAAACTGCATGTATTGGTCAATCCCTGCCAGCAAATAGATGAGCCGCCAAATCAAGAAAAATTGTTACTCCATCTGTTTCAGAGATATTATTTCATTTAACTTTTCTGCAATTATTTACGTATCTTATTTCAAATTATTTTATTCATCATTTGAAAGTAAATAAGAGAGAATCTTGATTGGAAGAATTAAAATAAATTATAATTAGAGGTATAAGAGTAAAATCAAGTAATTAATTGTTTAATTTTTTTAATCATGGATTATAATTTTAGGACATCCAAGATGAAAGGTGAACAATATCTTTGAAATAGAGGGAGCGGTTTTCTGTGACAAATTATGATTTTGCTAAATCAAGAAGACAAATTGTCGGTCTAAATTGTTCTTGATTGAGTTTTAAGTTAAATTGGGTAGAATGTACTAACAAGTCAATCTATGATCTAATTAATTAATTTGGATAAACTCAATTTAATTTTTTTAAAATAATATTATTTCAAAAAATAATTCTTAAAACAATCCTATTTTGAATTGATCTCGGGTCCACCTAAATTAATCCACATAACTGAAGATCAGTTGTTGTTTCCTAACTTATGTCTTCTGTTGTTTAAGCATCAACTAACTACAGAGCGGATATTCTATGAAGATAGGGAAATTAAATCGGCTTTGTGCCGTGTAACGAAGAAAATGAAATAAGAAGCTATTTTGTGAATTGGTTAGAAGAAAGCACAGGTGCTACATTAACATGCAATTGGCAGCCGGCGATTGGGAAATTGATTGAGCAATCCAGAACCGGCAGAAAAGGTCTTCCTCTTGGTGTTTCATGGTGTGCCTGCCTATTCTTTATCTGTAAGCAAAGAAACTCTGGATGTCATAACTCTGAAATTCCCCTGTCAACAGCATTTCTCAAGCTGTTCTTTTCACTGTCAAACACAAATGGTGGAAAACTGCAACTTGTCGAGCAGCTATTTATCAAGAAAACAGACTTGTTTGCTATCTGTTATAGCTGGGAACTAGTCTGAATAGGTGGCTTTCTTTTTGTATAGCTTTGTAGCAGGTCGGTTGATCCTTCTTCTCGTTCATTGAATAATGATTTCATTCATCAAAAAACTTACAGCACCGATAAACTATATCTAGAAAATGGGAAAACATAATTTAGCCATAAAAGAAATCACCTATGTAATTGCTATAAAAACAATGAAGAATTATCATTGGATGTGATTAAAAAATTTAAAGACAAATTCCGGTACATCATCATGTACAAAAAGTCACTAAGGAGCTCAAGCATGAGGCAGAGAAAACACCACCAAGAACCGATTGACTGTGCCATCCGTGCTAGAAAAATTTGAGTTTTCCATTGCCTACAGAATCCTTTGCCAGCTCCAAACGACATAATGTCTTTTTGGTACCTGTCAGTCCAGAGCATGATTCAGTGGCCCCTAGGGTAACAGCGAAGTAGAGATAGATTGTGCATAAGAAAGCCAAGAGAGCCAAGGCTGTTAAGAGGAAACGGTGTCGCTGAAGGAGTGTTGACCAGCTACCCAACTCATCCCGTGGGAATTGCTTCCGGAAAGATGGTGATCTCCGGTGAGGAGAAGTTATCATGCTATCAAGAACCATACCTTATATTCTGAGCTTCCTTAGACAACCTGAAACTATCCTAATTTGAGTTCATGGTGGAGAGTAAGGAGACATAATAGAATCAAAATTTCATTAAAAAAAAGAGAGAATCAACAAGTACCAAGAGGAAATTATTCTGAGCATTACTGTCATCATCTAATAAAATTTAAGAAAGCAGGGTTTATTACAATGTTTGAGTGGCTTTAAATTTGGTTGAACAATATCTTGCTTGGAGAATGAGGGGAGCACACAAACACATATAATTCATCTCCCTCGCTTGCTCGATTCTCTCTCACATACACACACAATAGACAACACATAATTCCAGATAATTAGGGGAACTATAACCTATCTTCACTTTTTGCTATTTAAGTCTCGCGTCTTTATAGGCTTTTGGGTGAGCATCAATATAGCAAGAACTGCTAAGCTAAAGCATGTTAAAAAAAAAAAAAAATTGAGGTATTAGGATACCGTAAAGACATAACCAGATGTGCAAGAGAAAAAACCACTATGCAGCATCAGCAAAGTAATCAATCTTGCACTAAAAAGGAAACAACGTGGAAATCAAGGCTGTTCCATCGTCCATACACTTGAGTTCGGTTAAGCAACAAGATATCCAAATTACAATGAAGGTAAATAAAATCATCTCAAACGATGATTATTTGCAACTTTTCTCAACTACATCATGATATAGAACAAAGGTATCTAGCCCATACACCATTTGGCAAATCCATCCATACAGCTGCTATATAAACAGAATCATTTTGCAGGAATCCCTAAGCAAGTATCTACAAGATCCAAATCTCCAGAGCAGTGAAAAGAGCAACACACACATGACACACCTCCCACAAGTTTTATCTTCATTTTCAGTTGATTATCACAATGGTCGATCGATAATCACTCACAAAAAAGATCATGAAACTACAAGAGAAAACAGTCCGGCCAAAAATACCCTGCCTAAGCACTTCAACAAACAAAGAGCTTAAGCAGTGAATTGTTCACACAATATCCAATTGAAAGATCCAACTGGGCCAAAAAGAAATGACATTTATAACGACGACTTATTAAAGACAGTCAACAATGCCCGCATATCAATGAACTTGTGTTCTATCTAGTAATAACGAGCACACCGGCGAGGGAGCTGTGTGTAGAGCAATGACTGTGAATTAGTGCTGATTTCACAAGCAATCACGCACTGAAATGAGTAATAAGACAGAGTGAAAACAGGAAGCGTATGCAATGGCACATAATGCATGACTATAGATCCAATACCAATCTATCATTAATCCAGAGCAAGCAACAACAATCAGCACTTGAGAAACTCCAAAATACATGTCAAAATCAGCATCCATAAAAAGCAGATCTTTTTCTTATAACCAGACAGTAAAGCAGACAAGATTAAGAATCAAAGTCATATTTTTGCACATAGATGGGCCATCTGAGCACTGCCCATCCCAATTGATTTGAATAAATTTCACATTGACAGCTAGCTATGGTTCAAATTCTCTAAGATTTATCACATTTCAGCTGAGCCCTTTTGGAACTCTTGCCCCTCCTTTCACAAATACAACATTAATAAAGGAGAAAAATATACAAAAACAAACGTCCAACCAAATAGCAAAACACCCACATTGCAAAAATCAAACATAAAGCTCCCAAATTTCACATTCATTAAAAAAAACAAAAACAAAATCTGGGAAACACCAATCAGATCTGAAGAAAGGAATCGGAAAATAGCGGTTCAAAGAAGATCAACAAAATCAGGTAAGAGAAGCTATAGCTTTTATCCTTCTAGAAGAAGTTTGTATCGTTTTACCTTGTAACAACGATAATGTCTTGTTTCTTCTCCGTTTCTCTCGGCCAAAAAGAGAGTGAAAAAGAGAGAGGGCTTGGATGAACGTCTATGATATTCCCTCCCCTCCCATTCACTACCCTCAAATAGAAGAGGATTAAAAAAAGGAATCGTTTTTTATATAGGAAAAAAGGGACGACTCCTCCGTGAAAAGTTAGTGAGGGACTGGCAGAATGGGCGTCAAAGGCACTGCTTTGTGTACGATCGATGTTGGTTTGGTTTTATGAAGGGTATGAGTTGGGCCGGCAGAGCATACTGCTATGCTTCTTTTGGGGAGGTTGGCTCTAGGAAATTTCAAGGGACGGACTCGGACTTGTTCCACATCAAAGCAAAGACAAGAGGCTCTCCTCCATATACCATGCTCGATTAGTACTCGCACCTGGACAGACAATGACTGTTTAAAACTAACTATGACTATAAAGTCCAATTATAATCTTGGTTTCAGGTTGATCCATGAAGATTCAAGTTTTTGTAGCATTAGACTGCTTGTTCAAATAATTTCGTTCATCCCACCTTGGATTTTTTTTAATAATAGAAACTGGCTGTACAATACATGCTGCCTGAAACATGGTGTCTTTTATTCCAATATATTTGAAAGAATCCTCGGTGTGTTTTGTTAGTATCCTAAGATAAAATGGATATATAAAAAAATAATATAAACGTATTTGATTAGAGAAATGAAAATAAAAATATAAAATAAATTTATTATAACGATTTCTTAATGAGTTTCTATACTTTTAAAATACAAAGTACAAGGAGGACATGTATACCCTATCTCCATCATTTTTATCTTTTATATCTCAATATTATTATTATTAAACACTCTTAAAAGATTAAATTCTCGAGATGCATTACCTCTCTCCAAATTAAAAAGGGCTTTTAACTAAAAACTTAGATTGAATAGATTTTCTATTTATTGTTTAAATCAATTATTAGAAACTTTTAGATAAATAGTTAGAAATAAGTGGAATATGAAGAAGATGAAGGTCAAGGGCTTCAAATTCATGTGAAAGCCTAGACATGTTGGTTTATTATATTTTTAGTATTTATGGTGGTTTAAATATTTATTACAATCATAAAATGTTGTATTTTTTGTAAGAAAAAAAATATATCCCCAGTTAATAATTCATGGATGCAAAGAAAATTGTAAAGATAAAACAATTGAAGTTGATAGTTTATTTATAGAATTAAGATATTTAAATGGTAGCAATTAGTGTTCTTATGATTTGGTGATCTAAAAATCCTCAGTCCTTCTTTCCAATTCCATTAGGATGAAACATCCAAGAGAAAAATTCAAACGAAACTAGATGAATGGACTAAAACTACCCAGATTTTATTATACATCATAAGGGTTCGATTGCACAGTTGATAGTACAGGGCTTAATGTGTAAGGATCTTTAAGGTACAGGGACTAAAAAGGTTATAAGAAACTATAATCCCTACCGTACATAAACTGCGACTCCACCCGCACAGCCACATAATCCAACGGCAAGCATAACGAACTTTCTCGGAAAAGCAGAGAACCACGCCGTATAGGCCAAAAGCACCAGTCTTTCTTGAGCGAGAAAACAAAAATTCGTAATCAAAGCATCAAGAACACCTCTTCCTCCAATTCTCTCAGGTACCCACAATCTAGTTTCTCCTTCTCAAATTAGGGTTTTAATTTTTTTCAATAAAGTTTTGATTTTTTTGAAATACTTTGCTTAGACTGTTGAAAACAAGATGTGGGCAGCTTCTTGCCTGGCGTCATGCTGCGCTGCCTGCGCGTGTAATGCATGTACGACTGTAGTATCTGGGATTAGCAGACGATCCGCCAGGATCGCCTACTGCGGTCTCTTTGCTTTGTCTTTAATCGTTTCCTGGATTCTCCGAGAAGTTGCGGCTCCTCTCATGGAGCAAATCCCTTGTAAGCCCTTTAATTCCCGTTGTTTTTTACCAATTTAATTGTGATGATGATGGTGTTAATCATTTTTGTTGGTTTTGAATGGTAGGGATTAATCATTTTCATAAGACGCCGGATAGGGAATGGTTTGAGACAGACGCGGTTTTGCGTGTTAGTTTGGGGAATTTTCTTTTTTTCACTATATTGGCTATTATGATGGTTGGTGTGAAGAATCAAAAGGACCCACGTGATAGTTTGCACCATGGCGGATGGATGGCGAAAGTTGTTTGTTGGTGTCTTTTGGTGATCTTCATGTTTTTTCTTCCGAATGAGATTGTCAGCTTCTACGGTAATTGGTTGTGACTTGCTGGGATGCTGTTTATGTATTTAATTGTGGTTTTGCTTAGTAGCTTTGTTGTTTCAAAGTGTGTTGGCTTGTCATTTGTCAAGAGTGTTTGTTTTTCGGTTTGCTATGCAATTTGGCGATGACTTGTTAAGACTTAAGTATACTGAATGTCAATGGCAAAAAGGTTTCTGTTTACGTGCTCACATAAAGGGTGATATATCTGCAGGTCAACGACCTACTACTTTGAGGAAAAAAGTATTAGCCAATTTGAGTAGGAGTGACAGAAATGAGCTTATTTTAAGACTTGAATATCCTATATTGTGTCTGTTAGGTGGTTCATATTACCTACCAGATTCTGTTTAGGGTCATTGATAGATATTAATTTGCATTATTGATATGATGTTTGCTAAGGCAATGCCTAATCTGAAATTCTTTACTTTATGCTAACTGATGACATGCTATGGCAGATTGATTGTCTGCTTTTGATGTTCCTGTGTCTTTCTTTTCCTGTCCAACATTTTTTTGTCTGACAAACTGACAAGTTAAATTTTTTATTTGCAGAGTCAATTTCCAAATTTGGCTCTGGATTGTTTCTTCTTGTTCAAGTTGTGTTTTTGTTGGATTTCGTTCATGGATGGAATGACAAATGGGTTGGATATGATGAACAGTTCTGGTTAGTTTTGCTTTTTCTTTCTTTTCTCTTAGTTGTCTTCTTGTTTCCATTCCACAACCAGATTAACCAATTCTATTTTGCAATTTTATATATATAGGTACGCCGCTTTATTTGCTGTGTCGTTTGTCTGTTATGTGGGAACATTTGCCTTCTCAGGACTTCTCTTTCATTGGTTCACTGCATCTGGACAGGACTGTGGATTAAACACTTTCTTTATTGTTATGACCCTGATCTTCGCGTTTGCTTTTGCTATCATTGCACTACACCCTGCAGTAAGTTTAATTCTTTTTGTGTTCCAACTTCCAATAAATCCAACCATTATGACTATTCATTTTACCTTGTCACAGATGTTGGTGAAACTGATACATTGTAAGAGGGATGTGATTGATGCCACAATTGTTTTGTTTATATATGTTGTATTCTAATTTAGTTTGAACAGGGTAACCCTTCAAAATTGGTTCATAAGGAGAATAATACTTTTGGTTATGCAATTATCAAAAAATGGCTAATCATATCTCATCCAAATCATCAAGAATTGCAGTTGAACATGTATTCTCCAATAATAATAATGCAATTGGTCCAGGAATGATACAAAAATGAGAGCAGGATTTAGCTTGATCAATTATACCACTGGTCCTATGACCAATGTCATGAGATTTTAAGCTTTTAGTAGTTGTAAGTTAACCTATTATGGTTATAGGATGTTTTAGTGGCCAGTCCATTTTTATTTCATTAAAAGGCTCTCTTCAATGTGTTATTAAACTTTGGAGTACTGAACTCTTTGCATATGTAAATGCAAGATGTATCTAATATTGTCTCTGTATCGAGAGACTTTATGTTTTCCAGGAATGATAATTTAAATGTTGGAACTTATATTGATTTCCCAGATGCAACTGAATTCCTCATGGTCTGCAGGTATAAAGAAACTGCTGTGTCATGCTCATGTTATGTGTTCTTTGTCAAAGAAAATCCTGTTTTGAGTTCTCCCATGAGGATTTCCTATAGTTGTTCTATTTGCATGTTTGATAATTTCAAATTATTGTTTGTTATGTTAGTTTTGATTGATGCCTAGAGTGCATAGCTTCACTTGCTTTTTTCCTGGAAATAGAACTCTTGGTTTGTCATCTCATAGGCTGTCACTTTCTTGGAACACAGGTAAATGGAAGTGTTTTGCCTGCTTCAGTTATATCCTTGTATTGCATGTACCTATGCTATAGCGGACTTTCCAGTGAACCAAGGGAATATGAGTGCAATGGTCTTCACAGGCATTCAAAAGCTGTTTCTACCAGTACTCTTACCATTGGTCTGCTTACAACTGTTCTATCTGTAGTCTATTCCGCTGTCCGTGCTGGATCCTCTAACACCCTGCTCTCCCCACCAAGTTCACCCCGTGCTGGTAAATCTTGATCAAACATTTCAGACTTCTGATATGTAGCGTCCATATGATATGTCAAGAATCTGTTCAGAAATCTTTTGAATAAAAATATTTCTACACCTGAAAGTTTCCAAAACTTAATCTATTATGTCCGTTACTGATATGAGGTAATTGAGAATGCCTACTTTTCTGCACATGTTTTTTTTTTTTTGGTTTCTCTTGGTTAGGACCGTATGTTAAATGTGCTTTCATGAGACTTTGTTAGATGTGCTTTCATGACAATTTTTGCTTGGAATCTGACATTTGGCTTCTGGGTTAGGTGCCGACAAACCTTTGCTTCCACTGGACAACAAGCCAAGCGAGAAAGAAGAAAAGGAGAAGGCTAAGCCAGTCACGTATTCTTATTCCTTCTTCCACATCATCTTCTCTCTTGCAAGTATGTACTCTGCAATGCTTTTGACTGGATGGTCAGCCTCGGTTGGGGAGAGTGGAAAGCTGGTAGATGTGGGGTGGCCCTCTGTTTGGGTTCGTATTTTGACTGGGTGGGCAACTGCAGGTCTCTACATCTGGTCTCTGGTTGCTCCTATTCTGTTCCCAGACAGGGAGTTCTGAGTCTCCTACTCTCCTCGGTGGAAAGCACTGTAGGGACAAAAAAAAAAAAGAGGAAAAGTAATACAATATGAGTGTGAAAAAAAAATAAAAAGGAAAAAAAATAAAAAGTGCATAAAAAAAAGAAAAGGTGAAAAAAAAATAATCCATTGTGGATTAATAATGTCATTTACAGTGAAATGATTAGGGATGAATAGTGATTTCCTTATATATTTTAGCTTTATATATATTATATACAAAATTAAAGGGTGTGAGGAAATTGTTGTTTTTTCACATTTGTTGTATTGTGGTTTGTGGTTGTAATCCATGGTGAATTATTTTTTTTTCTATTTCTTTTATGTATTTTTTCTTCTATTTTTTTCACTTTTTTGTTTTACTCAAAGGGAAAGTATGTTTCTTTTTTTAAAAAAAAAAAAATTATATGTTAGTTGTATTTTTTTAATATTAAGTTGGTTAGAAATTCTACTTTATAACTTTTTTTAAATTCTATGAATTGTTACGATGTTTTTTTATATAATTTTTCTATTTGATTTTTTTTATTTCTTAAAACTATATTTATTGATATTATTTTTTTAATATTAAACTGATTGAAAATTTAGTTTTGTAATTTAAAAAAAAAATATTATTGATTGCTACAGTGTTTTTTTGTATGGTTTTTTATTATTTTTTTAAATTTATTTTATTTTATTTTTTAATATTAATTTAGTTAAGAATTATAGTTGTAATATGTGAATAAAGCATTGTAGTTTTTCTCTCAAATTATTATGGATTGCTATAATGTTTTTTTTATATTTTTTTTGTTTTTTTCCTAAAATTATCTATCAATTTTATTTTTTAAATATTAAGCTAGTTAAAAATTACAATTACAAGTATGGCTAAATCATGTGAGGAAAACTTTGTAACTTACCTTATAAAATACTATGGATTGATATAATTTTTTCTTACAAGTTTTTTTTTGTATTATTTTGTGTTTTTTAAAAAATATTTTTTAAAATTATTTTTATTGGTTTTATTTTTTTAATATCGAGCAGGTTAGAATTTAATTTTATAATAAAACTTAATCATGTGAAAAAAATATTATAACTTTTTTTATAAAACACTATAGATTGTTATAATGTCTTTTTATATGTTGTTTTTTTATAATTTTTTTATTAATTTTATTTTTTTAATATTGAATTAAATAAAAATTACAATTACAAATGATTACAAAAATTTATTTCCTAACCTCTTTCAAAAGGAATGGAGATATTTTAGATTTTCCCTACCAAACTATCTTATAAAAAACATTAAAAGAAAAGGTTGGAGCACAGTGTCCTTTATTAGGTGATCCTTCTTCTCAGTTAACTATTATAAATTGGTTTTGTAAAATTGATGTTTAGTGGTATCTATAATCATTATAATCATGAACATGCAAGGTAAAATAAAGATAAGAAAAATATTATTAAAAAAAAATTGGTAATGTAACATAGGAGAAAGAAAAATACATAGTTTGCACTAATATCTAAAATGTTTATTTTTAAAGAATTTTTGTTATTTAAATATTTTTATTTTTTATTTAATTATTTCACTTAGTTGATTTTGAATTGAATCTAATGTTTTGTTTTGGTTGGCTTTACATGAGAGGCTCACACTTGTCATATTAAAAATAAATTTTGGTCTTGGATTAATGTTTGATTAGTTAATTTGATGAAATTAAATTTTATTTTATTTATTTAAATTAATTAAAACTTTAAAAATCTAATTTCAAATAAAAAATATTCAGTTTTTTTAAAAAATAATAATATTTTTATCTCAGCTTATCAACTTAATATTTGATGGAAATCAATATATTTATTATTATTATTTACTAGCATAAATAATTATTAATTTATCTTACCGAATATATATATATATAATTTCCGTTAAGAAAAAATGCCCCATTCAACAAAAAAGTACAAGTAATCAAACTACTTAAATGCTACGGAATTTGAGATGTCTGGGGACATCACAACCCTTTAAAGCTAAGAAATTCCCTTCCTTTTTCATAAAGGGGATGTGAAACTTTATTTGTGAACGCTAATGCCCTTAATGTTTTTATTATAAATGAACTGAGATGCTCTTATTTTATTAATAATAACACCACATGTTCTCACTATTTTTTCATAAAATATTTAGCTGATGTAAGATGAATAAATTCAATAACTGGACTTATAGTTCTCAGATAAATAAAAAAGAGACAAAAAAAATAAACAGACAAAAAAAAAAAAAGCAACTACAATGACAAAGGACAACAAAAAAAAAAAAAAACTCTTTATCCAAGAGAAAGTGATATGGCTCAATTTTCAATCAATTAAGTTTGAAAGAAAAAATTATGATAAAAAAAGAGTCAAAAAACTCAATGTAAGTCAACTTAAAATAACATAATAAACATATAATTTGATGATTAAAAGGAAAGTCAGCTTATGTTAACTCGAGTCTAGGTTATAAAAAAAAAATAACCTAATAGAAAATGAATTGAAGAAAACTGCAATCAATTTTTTTAAAAAAAAAACAATGTCAAACAATAAAATTAAAAAAAAAATAAGTTATAAAAAAAACATCAATCGTTATTAGTTTTCAAACTTGTGACCCAGAACATCAAATTGAAAGTATAATGTATGAAAAAACCGTGAAGTCCAATCTCTAAGAAATGAAACACTAAAAGATAAAATTAGAAAAAAATACAAAAACATTCAAAATAAAGAATAGCAATTAAAATAATGATGGTTAAAATAAAAATAAAAAATAAATTAAAGGACACAAATAAATTGAGATTTGAGGGTTAAATTGAAAAGTATAATAACCTTAACAAAAAGATAAAGAAAAATCAAAAGAATCATGACCAATTTATAAGAAAAAAAACAAATATCCTTTAAATTTAGATTAAAGAATGAAATGAAAAATCAATAAAACTTGTATAGAATGGCAAAGTAAAAAAAAACATAAATAAAAACAAAAATAAAAATAATGAATGTAATATATATATAAAGAGGCAATAAAATAGACAAAAAAAAAAAAAACAACTACAATAACAAAGGAAAAAAAAAAAACCTTTATCCAAGAGGGGAAAGTGATATTGCTTAATTTTCAATCAATTAAGTATGAAAGAAAGAAATATGATAAAAAAAAAGGGTTAAAAAACTCAATGTGAGTCAACTTAAAATAACATGATAAATATATAATTTGAGGATTAAAAGAAAAGTAAGCTCATGTTAGCTCGCATTCTATGTTATAAAAAAAAAAAAATAACCTAATAGAAAATGAATTGAAGAAAACCACAATCAATTTTCTTTTAAAAAAAAAACAATTTCAAACAACAAAATTTAAAAAAAAAAGTTATAAAAATAACATCAACCGTTATTGGTTTTCAAACTTGTGACCCAGAACATCAAATTAAAAGTACAATGTATGAAAAAACCGTGTCCAATCTCTAAGAAATGAAACGCTAAAGGATAAAATTATAAAAAAAATGTAAAAACATTAAAAATAAAGAATAACAATTAAAATAATAATGGATAAAATCAAAATAAAAAATAAATTAAAGGACATAAATAAATTGAGATTTAAGGGTTAAATTGAAAAGTATAATAATCTTAACAAAAAGATAGAGAAAAATCAAAAGAATCATGACCAAATTATATATATATATATAAACAAATATCCTTTAAATGTAGATTAAAGAATGAAATGAAGAATCAATAAAACTTGTATAGAATGGCAAAATAAAAAAAATCATAAATAAAAACAATAATAATAATAATAAATGTAATATATATATATATATATATATATGATAGAAAAGGTGTAAAATAAAGATATTGATCCGCGTTAATATGCAGAAACTTGCATTTGCTTGAGCCATGGGCACTCATCTCCTTCTCTTTATAATAAGTATTCAGTGCTTAAAGAAAAGGCTTGAATTGTAAAGTGAGAAGGCCTATCATATCAAGTCGAAGAAATCTTGCAGGTAGGACTCTGATCTTGGCTCCTTCTTATCATTGTCTTTCTTATAAGCAGCAGAGAACCTCCCACTGGCCATACCTTTAGTTACAGTTACATGTCTGCGTATGAAGGTGACAGTGTGAAATGTGAGTTGTGAAGGAGCGGCGGCTCAACAGCAAGGACAAGGATGGTCAGAGTCCGGTGGACGCTAGGGTTAAGAATAAGCACATGTTTTTCTTTTTGTGTGTATTTATAGTACCCTCAACGAACCGATTCGGTTTGGTTGGGGTTTTGCTGGTTTCAGGTTTCTAAAACTAAAACCGAATCGAATAGAATTGAAATTTTTTTTATTTTTTTTATGGTTTGGTTTTTATTTTTTGTTGTTTTTTCTCGTTTTTCTCTATTTAATTGGTTTCTTGGTTTTTTTCTCACTCCTAACCCAACAGATTATTATTTTAAAACCTAACCTAACTTAGCAGTTTGACCCATAACCCAAGTGATTTAAAGCCTAGGTCACGCTAGGTTTCAATAAAAATAGGAGGAAAACTTATCCGATATGATTCGATTAAAACCCAGGTTAACTCATGACCTAATTAGCCATAGAAAAACCTAGTTAAAACACGTCGATTTTATTCTTTTTTTTTTCTTCAAAATAATATCATTTTTGTATTTTTATAAAATAAAAAAATAAGTTGACTAGTAACTAACTCGAATTAATTTGAGTCAACCCATTTAACTCGTAACCTCAAATTTATCCCAAGTCAACTCCCGTGTTAGGCTTAAAAACTATATAATAGATAACTTTTAAAACACATAACAGTAGTCATTGGAGCAAATCATTATACATAGAAAAACTGAGAAGTTTATTCTTCAATAAATCAAATATTAATTGATGAAATCAGGAAAATAATTAATAACATAAAAGGATCTAAAATAAAAATATAACAATTAAAAAAATAAGAGGGAAAATAAAAATAAAAAATAAATTAGAGGGGAAAAAAATTCTATAACTAGATGGTTAAATTGAAAAAAAATATTTAAAATAAGGACAAAATACTTGAAAAAAATGAGGATCGAATTATAACTCAAACCAGG